TAAAAAAAAAATAAAAGGGTGAACAGGACAAATTGAACATACCCATTTAATTCTGTTCTCTCCTAAAACTTACTAAAATGATCTAGATAATAAATGAGGAAAAAACAATAAAATTTTGGAAGCTGGAAAGCAGACTATAAAGGCAATTTATTTAGGAGATCCAAGAAAGCTGCAACCTCAAAAAGGAATGTAGAATAAGAGCCATGTCATTGCATCTTATAAGTTCATCTCTTACAGAATAACTAAGACTTGGCAGAGAAGGTGCCTCTGAAGGTGAGTGTGAAGGGAGATCTACATAGAGTAGGACTTATTGAGGTCTGGTAAGAAACAGGATTTCCAGGTCTCATGATCTGACTCTTCTATTGAAACAACTAAAAATGCAGGAAAACTCGGGGATAAGAAGAGTAATAAAAATAAAACAATTATCTATGAAAAGGACACAAGACTGTCCATAACAGTTTATTCATAGTACCCCCTAACCTAGAACCAACCCAAATGTCCATCAGCAAGAGAAGAGATGTACAAATTGTGATACAGTCTTGCACTGTACAATGACATTTCAGTCAGCAGTGGTCCTATAAAATTATAATGGAGCTGAAAAATTCCTATTGCACGTGACAACATAGCCATGGTAAAGTCATAGCTCAACACATTACTCATGCGGTTATGGTGATGCTGATCTAAATAAACCTACTTTACTGCTAGGTGTATAAAAGCATAGAACTTACAACTATGCATAGTACATAATACTTGATAATAACGTATTACTGGTTTATGTATTTATTTACATTGCCACATTTCTTATTGCCATTTTAGACTGTACTCCTACCTTTTTTTTTTTTTAAATTAACTGTAAAACAGCCTTAGTAGGTATTTTAGGAGGTATTAGAGAAGAAGGCATTGTTATCACAGGAGATGACAGCTCCATGCGTGTTACTGTACCTGAAGACCTTCCAGGGGGACAAGATGTGGAGGTGAAGACAGTGATACTGATGCTCCTGACCTAATGTGTGTATTTGTGTCTTAGTTTTGAAAAAAAGTTTAAAAAGGAAAGATAATCAAAAAACAGAAAAAAAACTTATAGGATAAAGACATAAAGAAAAAATATTTTTGTTTAGCTATATGATGTATCTGTATTTTAAGCTAAACGTTATTACAAAAGAGTCAAAAAATTAAAAAAAGTATGAAGCAAGGGCAGTACCTGTGGCTCAAGGAGTAGGGCACTGGCCCCATATCCTGGGGGTGGCGGGTTCAAGCCCTGCCTCAGCCAAAAAAACTGCAAAAAAAAAAAAAAAAAAAAGAGTTATTAATTTATGTAATAAATTAATTATTGAAGAAAAATATAAAAATAAATGTAGTATAGCCAAATACACAGTGTTTATAAAGTCTACGTGTTACAGTGATGTCCTGTGCCTTTACCTTCCCTCACTACTCACTCACCAGCTCACCTAGAAAAAACTTCTAGTCCTATAAACTCTGTTCATAGTAAGGGCCTTATGCAGGTGTACCATTTTTTATCTTTTATGCCATATTTTTACTGTTACTTTTAAAATGTTTAGATACCTAAATATTTACCATTATGTTGCTATTGCCTACAGAGTCTAGTACAAGAACATACTGTACAGGTTCATAGTCTAGGAGCAATAGGCTGTACCACACAGCCTAGGTGTGTAGCAGGCTATATACCATCTAGGTCTGAAGAAGTACATTCTATGATGTTTGTAAAATTATGAAACTGCCCAAACACATCTCTCAGAATGTGTTCCCATTGGTATGTGACACATGACTGTATATTTATTTAATGTTCTATCACTTGGCACTAAAAACGAATGAACATATTTGTTTCATGAATGAAACAATACAACAACATGCTTGCTTCTCAAAAACATTATTTTGAATTAAAGAAACTGGTTATAAAAGAGTACATATAGTATGATTCATTTATATTCAGTTCAAGAAAAGGAAAATCTAATTTATGGTAAATAATGGTGGAAATAAAGACTGTTTAAGGAGGCAGAAGGGAACTTCTGGGGTTGACAAAAATGTCTTCTGTCTTGATTAGAGTTGTAGTTACATGGGTGCTTACATTTATTAAAACTCATAAAATTGTGTACTTAATATCTATACATTTTATTAATGTAAACTTTACCTAAATTAAAACACACAAAGAAAGAAAAAAATAACTAGTCTGGTGATGATAAAAAACATTCCACATGCATTAAATGGTGAAATATAAAAGGCAAAACTATAAAACCTTTAGAGGATTAGGCCAGTTTTAAACATGGCCCTGAAATTCTTTGATATCCCTCCTGCTGATCTTTGGATTAATAAATTATGATATATATACACACACATACGTATATATACATATATATACACACACACCATGGAATACTATTCAGCCATAAAAGGATGGAGATTTCGTATCAACTTTTCATGGTTCTGATTTCAGCTTAGTTTATTTCACAGTCTATCAAGGAAACAGGAAACTATAGAAAAAAGAATAGAGAGGAGGACTGTTAGGGGCGGCGCCTGTGGCTCAGTGAGTAGGGCACTGGCCCCATACATGGAGGGTAGCAGGTTCAAACTTGGCCCCGGCCAAACTGCAACAACAAAATAGCCAGGCATTGTGGCGGGCGCCTGTAGTCCCAGCTACTTGGGAGGCTGAGGCAAGATAATTGCCTAAGCCCAAGAGCTGGAGGTTGCTGTGAGCTGTGACACTACAGCTCTCTACTGAGGGTGACCAAGTGAGACTCTGTCTCTTTAAAAAAAAAAAAAGAATAATAGAGAGGAAAGTAACGAAACTTGAAATTTATGAATTTTCCATACTGTTCGGATAAGCCAAGACTCCACTGTTAGTTCATCCAGTGCCAAGATATCCTGGATGGAGCCAAGATAATGGAGACAGTAAGATGCAATTCATTGAAATTAAATGATTACTTCATTTCTTCCCCTTTCTATTTCTTTTTAAACATTTTTGAAATTTTCTTTCTTTCTTTTTTTTTTGAGACTCACTTTGTAGCCCTCAGTACCAAGAAGCAGGGACTAAAGGCTGCTATCACAATGACCAGCTATTGTTTTATTTTTTTTAGAGACTGGGACTTGCTATTGCTCAGGCTAGTCTTGAACTCCTGAGCTCAGGCAATCTACCCACTTCAGCCTCCCAGAGTTCTAAGATTATAGTCATGACCTACTGTGCCCAGCCCTAAAATTTTTTTATTTCAGATTAATATGAAGGTCCATACAATTAAATTACTTAAATTGTTTGCATTTGTTAAGGTTAAAGTCTGAGTTGTAGTTGTGTCCTTCACCCAGCAAGTGTGCCACATACCTGTGCATTGTACCTGTCGTGTGGGAACTTACCACCCCTCTTCTCTCTCACCCCCTATTTGAATTTAACTGATGTTTTCTCTCATGTGAACCTGTAGTTGTTAATCTACTAGGTTCAGTTTAGTATTGAGTAAATGTGATATTTGTTTTCTCATAAATCTGCCCAGGTTTTTACAAAAAATACAGAATTTCAATCTTTCTACTGCTGAATAATATTCCATCATGTAGCTATATCTCTATTTATTAATCCATTTATGTGTTGAAGGGCACTTGGATTGTTACTACATCTTTGGGTCACATCAAGTGAATCAAGGACCAATCAAAAGATGGTAAAACAATGATCAGTAAACACTGTTATAGTCTGACCATGAGCAGGAAACAGGGATATATTATAGAGTAAGCTCCTTCTTTCTCTATGCTATGAGATTCAGGCCAAGGGAGGGACACCAGTCCAGAGACTGCAGGCAGAGATGGTTTGCATCATTTAAAACACACAGTAAAGCACAGTCATGAAGCTCCTGCTGCTGTGGGTCTTCTAGGTATTGCTGAATAGGCACCTAAATGGTACCTAGAATGATATAGGGTAAACTAAGTTGGCATACAGGTATCTTGGGAGCATGTTGTGAAGTTGGAAAATGCAATCAATATTTTCAGTAATGTGTTCATCTGTTCTTATTTCCTTACCCATAATCAGGGACAAAAGCCACTATTCATTAATCTAATGATACTAAGCCAACCCAATAACTGGTTGGAGTGAGACATAGAAGACACATTTGGAAAAATCATGTGATAAAACCCTAAGCTGAACACACATACTACAGCCAGGCTCTATAATCTTCTAAAAGTTATTTGGAGAGTAAACCATGGCTGAGCTTTCCTTTCGAGCTCTAACATTCTTGGATTTGGGCAGAGACATACTCAACTTCTTCTAAGAGAAAGACTACCTAACTTCCATGGGGATCATTCCAACTGCTTATACTTCTCAGAAGATGATGGAGCATCTATAGAGTAACAGAGTAAGGTTTCATACATGTATCTTAATTTATACATAGAAAACAAGTCTTATTCTTTAAAGTTACCTCTTTGGCAGGCTGTGTATCTATTCTAAAGGGGAATTTCTTTTAGTTATGGTCATATACAGTGTATGAAATGGGAACTGATATGTATAACCCAAGTTTGTTACACACCCTGATGTGGGTAATCAATCTACCCAGATTTCACTATAAATCAAGTAGGTTGGTCTTCAAAATCAAGTTTACTTTCACTGTACCAAGCTTTGCCAATATCAATGATTTAAAAAAAATATCAGAGGAATTTCATACATATCTGAATATTGACACCATTATTGGAAGGCTGTAAGGGTTCTGGAAGGTGGAAGGAATAACTAAGAAGAGAGCACCCCCAACTAAGAAGAATGAGTATTATTCTAAACTGGGCCAGGGAACTCTTGGTGCTGCCCCAGCCCCAGATCCCCAACCCTGAGTTCACAAAACACTTATCCAAGTTGCTTTATTTCTCTGAAACTATTTCAAAATCACAAATATAAAAAGATGTTAAAAGGTCCTAGATTGGTTTATGAATGGACAGGGAGCTACTTTGGAGTAAGATAAGAGAAAGTATAGATATTGGGGCCTGGGGCTTGTTCAGGTATTCTCATCATCTGTTCTTACCTGTGGGGGCCTGCATGGCTGAGCTGGGAATGGTGGCAGCATCTTGTGGTACAGTGCTGGTGTCTGGTTCAGGGGTGCTGGTTGTTGGTGAGGTGGGTGGTGGGTTCACCAAAGTCCGAGGTTTCCTCTGTCAAAATAGATGGGGAAAAGTCTGTTAGTCATGATAGGTAACTTGTCTTTTCTTCTATTCTTAGCACTAAATTCACCCATGAAACAAAAATATATTTATGAATGGAACTGTGTTTTATATTTGTTTTCCACACAGCATCTGGCCTAAAGCTATGCATGTACCTGTAGTAGATGCTTTGAATCTATGTATAAGATTCTGGTCTTCTGTAGAGCCAGGGCTTAATTAATTACTTTTATGCTAGCTTCAGTATTATCATGTGAAGTTCCAGATCCTTTATTAGTTGGGCAGACAAGAGCAAAATAGAAAAAAAAAAATGCCATAGCTTTCTTAAGTCTACCCTGACGTTATTTTGTTCCTCTGTCTTTAAAAATGGAAAGGACTCTTTTCTTAATTCTACTAATGACTTTCTTCTACCTACCTCCCACTTAAGCTTATTAAGTATATTTTGTGTTCCCATATATAACGTGCACATATTTTTGGCCCAAACTTTCAGGATAAAGTCTTTTATTTTAATTTCTTAGAGGAGGCCAGAAGTGGCTATGTAATATATCGCCTTCTCTGGCAAAAGGGATGGAATGCAGAGTTGGCTGTGGTGGAAAAGCTAGGAGTGAGTCCAGGCAGTAGCTGAAAGTGGTCTGAATGACCTGAGTGCCCAACTTCCCCTAGCTGTCCTCTCCCAGCCCACTCCCATCCCCACATCCTCTCATTTCCTATTCCCACCAATGTCCACTGGTGGGAACGTGGCATGGCCACTCCACTGAGAACCCTGGCAGGCGTATTTCCTGGGAAGCTGGAATAAGGGGTCAGGGTTGGCCCTAAAGGTTCTGGCTTCTGATGGTAGATCCCTGCTTTATCTGGGTCACCACAGCTAGCCCCATTCTGATGCCCCTAGGACAGTGAGCTGAGGCGGAAGCCTTCCGTGATGATACCCCAGTGAAGTACCCTACATTTACATTTCTGTTTAGTGACTAGATTGTGACCTCCTTGAGCCATCCATACCTTAAGCACTCAGTAATGTCGGAGTGAATGACACCAACCTTTCCCAAACTTGCAAATCCTACAAATCACCTGGGGCACTGGTTAAAATGAGACTCATGAAGCACATTCAAATATACTGAATCAGGACGGTGCCTGTGGCTCAAGTAGTAGGGCACCATATACCAGAGGTGACGGATTCAAACCCAGCCCCAGCCAAAACCTGCAAACAACAATAACAACAAAAAGACAAATATACTGAATCAACTCTCCAGGAAAAAGATCTGGGTATCTATCTGTTTTGTTAATAAGCATCCTAGATGGTTCTTCCTACTGGCAAATTTGGGAGATTGTATCAACTCAATACCTTTAGGGTCTGGATAAGTCACAGGCTCAAAATTATAATTTATGGGCTTAGGTACCCCTGAGATTTCACACTTTGCTACAAGGTACCCTTGTAGACAGAAAACTTCATGGGGACTGAGGCCCAAGGTTATAATAATGAGCTAATGGTAGAGCCAGGTCTCAGAACCCAGGCCTCCAGACCCCAGCTCAGGGATCTTCCGCCTCAGCATGGTGTCCTCGGGGCCTCAGAATGGGGCCATCTGTGTGAAAGATGAGGAGGGCTAGAAAGGGCAGGAATCTGGGCTTCTCTGGAGCGGCTGCCTCCACATCTTGTGCCTCTTGTGAGAGAAAGAGGTGCCACTGCATGGCTACTTCCTACCTCCTTTTACCAAGGTCCTGATGCTAACTGGTGCGTTGCTCTCAAGGCATGCCACTTCCAAGATGGTGGTGGCAGTGGTATCTGCCAATATTGGCCAGATGGGCTAGAAGTTCCTGCAGCTGCAGTGCCTGCCTGGTGAAAGGGTGGCTGGGGAAAGGGAGAGTGCTGAGGGGGTGAGATTACTGTATTGTAGGATATTATTTGCATACAGATAATTGTTATTGTTTTCTAGAGTTAACTTTTAATGCATCAACATAAATAAAATAATTAAAGCATTTATATAGATAAATAATTAGTATCACACGTGTATGCATTTTTATTTTCCCTCAAAAATTTGAGCAAAAAATGCACATTATACATGGCAAAAATGGTACCTGCCATTCCTTCCTTTAAACCTCCCACTCTAGCAAATATGTAACTATATTACTTCTTTAAAAATCCTGAAGTTTGACCTGGTCCACACCTTTACAATAATAAGCTGTCTCTTCTGCCTGAGATGCCCTGTCTTCTTTTATAAATTTCTGTTCATCTAGGAAGCCTTTCCAGTTTTCCTCTAATTATTGTCTCTTCCATGCCATTCTGTATTTGGTATTGTTGCACTTGTCAGTGCACCGTCATTGTATGTGTACATTCTGGTGTCCCTATTAGCCTGGAGCTCCTTGAAGATCTGATCTGATTCTGAGTACCATTCTTAGCATGGTAGTCTGGCATATGTTAAGTGTTAATACATATTTTTTATGATACATACAGTATAAATCACTGATAATATGGGAAGAAATAAAGATGATTCAGGAGAAATCTAGTATCTTCTCTATGCTATTCAGGGTAGTTTCTGGGGCAGAAAGATCTCAGAAAGTTTTTCTCTAGATTTTCTAAAAGCCCCTTTTTTTTTCTTTTTTTTTTTTAAGATAGTCTCACTTTGTTGCACTGGGTAGAATGCTGTGGCATCATAGCTCACAGCAATGTCAAACTCTTTGGCTAAAGCAATCATCTTGCTTTAGCCTTCCAAGTAGCTGAGGCTATGGGTACCTGCCATAATGCCCAGCTATTTTTAGAGACAAGGGGTTTTGCTCTTGTTCAGGCTGGTCTTAAACTCCTGAGCTCAAGCAATTCACCTGCCTTGGGCAGGGTGTGATTATAGGTGTGAACCACTGTGTTCAGTCTCTAAAAACACTTCAGAATACAAGGAAATGTAATGGTCATTGGGATCTAAAATTCCTTTTTTTCTAAATGTTTCATGTAAGGTCTGTTGCTAGAAGCTGTATAAACCCGTCTACCTTTCAGACATGTATTCGCTAAAGAAACAGCACTGATAACAGCGGGCATACATAAGATAGCCTTGCCTGTGAAAACAATCATGCAAACTCTCATGAAGTATTCATAACACACATTGAACATGGGCGTCTAGTTTTTGATATTGTTAAAAGTAAAATCTAGGCAGGGCACAGTGGATTGCACCTATAATCCTAGCACTCTGGGAGGCCAAGGCAGGTGGACTGCTTGAGCGCAGGAATTTAACACCAGCCTGAACAAGAGAGATACCCTGTCTCTAAAAATAGCCGGGCATGGTGGTGGGTGCCTGTAGTCCCAGATGCTTGGGAGGCTGAGGCAGGAGGATCTCTTGAGCCTAAAAGTTTGAGGTTGCTGTGAGCTAAGTCACCATGGGATTCTACCCAGGGTGACAAAGTGAGACTTTGTCTCAGGAAAAAAAAAAAAAGAAGAAGAAGAAATCCAAATAAGTAATTAGTCAAGGGAAGAAGGGAACTACCAGTGTTCAATATCATTGAGGTGGTGACAGGATTCCCTGGGGATCCTGAAGGAATAAGGGAACAAGAGTTAGATGCCAGAATATTGTCAAAGAAAACAGAGAAACAGAAAGTATTATTACTATTTGAGAGAGGTACATTTATATATATGTATTATATTTATTCATATATATATTCATATTTATTCATATACATTCATATATATTCATATTTATTAATATATTATTTCATTTCCATTTTATAGATGAGAAAACTAGAGCTCAGAATCTTCCTCAAAGAAGCTTTCCCAAAGTTACATAGGTGGTAACAAATGGAAATGAGATCTAAACTTAAGTCTGTCTGGCTTCAAAGCCTATGCTCTAGCCACAGATCACTTTATTTCAAAAAGTAGTATAAGGTTCATGGGTGAAGTAGAAGGCATGTATATTTGCAGAAGTAGGCAAAAGAACAGGAAGGGGAATTAAGGGTCAAATGCCAGGACATAAAATAATAGGAGAATAATTTTTTTAAATGTTTCACATTTATCAAATACTTAATAAAATATCTGGGATTATTATTATTACTATGGGATCAGAGTTTGAAAGATTCTTTTTTTTCTTAACTAAATGTTAGCTGTGTACATTAATGCAATCATGGGGTACAGTGTGGCGTTTTCATATACAATTTGAAATATTTTCATCAAACTGGTTAACATATGTCATTTTCTTAGTTATTGTGTTAAGACGTTTATATTCTACTTTTAGAAAGATTCACTTGTACCCTTGAAACATAAACCATAGAGGTGATCCCTCCAATCACCCTCCCTCCACCCATCCACCTCCCTTCCCTCTCCTCCCCCACCCCCCTCCCCATTTTCTTAGGCTATAATTAGGTTATAGCTTTCATATGAAAGCTATAAATTAGTTTCATAACAGGGCTGTGTACATTGGATACTTTTTCTTCCATTCTTGTGATACTTTGCTAAGAAGAACATTTTCTAGCTCCCTCCATGTAAACATGAAG